TTTGAATTAGCAAAAAGTCTCTTGAAATTTGAAATTATTGGCAAGTACCATAACACTTTAGTAGGAGGATGCTTCTTACTAACATTGTCATTGTCATTAGCATTATTGTCCTTCAACTTGTAGCGCGACTCACCATATTCTAGACATTGATCCAAATTGTCATACTCTTTCAAGTATAATATGAAATCATTAGGGCATACATGTATGTTAATATACACCAAACCTGTTGGTCACAATATCTTCTTGGCCTCATAACAACGACCAGGAAAATTATTATCTTCTGGTAGCATTTGTTTCAACAAATCAAGCAATTTTGTGAAACATTTATCCGACAATTCACTTTTTCCCTCAGTTTAAACAATTTTAACAATTCAGACAAATGTGTTAAACTTGTGCACCCCTTATATAAAGGAACTTTTTGTCACTATATAAAGTATCATAAAAATGGGTTTTCATATAAGACGATTCTCCAATATCACTGATCATATATTCTAGTTAATCACACATATCTTCATCAACTTCATCCATTTGTGATGTCATGTTTCGATTTTTATCCATTTGTCCATGCCACGTCTATGTTGTATAATTTTGGCAAATTCCATCATAACATAGGTGACGTAATATTTCTTCCTTTGACTATTTTTTGATATTCCCGCAATTAACACAAGGACAATAAAAGGAACCATTATTGCTACAAAGATTTTGTTCAGTGAATTCAAGGGATTCAAGAACTCCTTTCACATACACCAGACCTAATCCATCAACTTTCATCCAACTATGATCCATAAGAAATTCTGAAATTTATATCAAAAAACTAATGTGAATGATATGCTAATGCTAGACACACAACATACTAATATGGTTATATATATGCATATCCATCACAACAATATAACACCAAAACCTAAAACATATTCCTAATCACACTTATTTCTTCATTTGAAATAGAGTTATAACACTAAAACAAAAAAAAACATGAACATAGCTTTCTAACAACAAAAACATCATAGAGGCAGAACATGACACATGACAACAACACATAGCTTTCTAACAACGAAAACATCACAAAATCCAAATAAAACATAAAAAATTGAATAAACTGCCACATAAAGGAAAAATACACCACAGCGCGCGAGAGAGACCAAGAAATGGACAATACAGAAACGTAATGTATCGTACTTTGAAGAGGATGAATAGGCCAAGAAATGATATTCATTCCCGGAAATGAATGAAGATGGTGAAGATTACGCTATTGTTGTCATCTCATTCACTAGAGCACTCTTGTGTGTTATGAACAAAATAAGAAACCTATTATGTTTTAATTTTGTAGGAAAGAATTTCACAACGGTTGCAAACAACAACCATAGTGAAATATGAAACATATAATAGTGGTTGATTGAAATAACCGTAGTTATTCTACTTTCAATTTTAAATAACAATAAATGTAAAGGGACATGCGCCTACTTTTATTGAAAAAATGAAAAAATGTTAATGTTGGGATGCGAAGTATGCTACCCAAAATTATATGACCACAGTTGTTTTTAGGAACCACGATGAAAAGTTTTTTAATAAAAAAAATCATACGCGTTAAAAATGAGATATTATTACAGTTGACAAAATGAATGTGGTAATATTGTATTACCAAATGTATATTTTGTAGTTGTAACCATGTAAGAATACTGATTGGTTCTTTGATATAATCTCTCCAATAACCCGCTTACTTTTAACACAATTATAACACCTATAATATATATTTTTTATGCAAAAAAATATTTATAATAATAATTTAAATAGTTTGATATAATATTTATATTTTATTTATTAATTAAAATTAATTATTAAAGTTGCACGTAATTCATCCTTATCAAACCGACTTATAAAATAAGGAGTGTCACTGTGTATAAACTATTTAGATGATATATTTTTAACCAACGTGTTTTTCAATATAACCCCCCACTCAGACTTAGTGCTTAGATATAAATGGTGGGCAACCAATAGTTTGATCGATATGCCCTAATACTCAGGGACGAAACTAAAAAATTCGAGTCACAAGAGCAATATTTAAATATAAATTAATATTTATTTTTTAATTTTTTAATTTTTTAATTTTTAAAATTAAGAAAATAAAATAATTGTTTAAAATAATTTATTAACCAGAATACTATAATTTACATTTTAAAATAATAAATAAATATATTAGATTTCGGTGCAAAATATTATACATGTAATGCTTTAAAATTAAGTCCAATAAAAGGAAATAAAATAAAAAAGTATAATATATTATTATTAGTATGTTTTTTCTAAAAATTAAATAAAATAAAAAAAGGCGAATGAAAACATAAATGACCTCTATGATTATATACTTCCTCCGTTTTATAATAGGTGTATCTTTTCTATTTTTATTTGTCTTAAATTATTAGTCCTTTTAAAATATTAAGGTGATATTTTTTATTTTTCTATTAATTTATCATTGTTTATTGTATTTTAATTCATATAATTATTTCACTATTTATTACTCTCTCCGTTCCTTTTTAAGTATCGTTTTAGAAGAATATTTTTGTTTCTATTTAAGTGTCGTTGTTATAGTTTAATGTTATCATTTGTCAATTATATCTCTACTTTCTCAATAACTCCACTTCACATTTTTCATAAAATTAATTATTTTCTCAATTAGTTATTGGAAAAAGATAGATGGTACATGATTGAATTTATTTGAAAAGAGAAAATAAAAGAAGGTATAATAGAAAAAATAACTCTAATAATTCACTATCTTGGTTGAAGAGGTTTATGCTAAAATGACACTTAAAAAAAAACGGAGAAAGTATTAATAAAGCTATTTTAATAAATGAGATTTATTTTATCAATAAAATTAATTATTATCTTAAAAAATATAAAAAATTTAATAAAGACATATTGTGAGAAGAAAAAGATAACAACCGTTTAATTAAAATAAAGAGTTAAAATCTAATACATCACATGAATTATTTATGTGATATTTTTTTTCTCAACTGCAAGTTTGGAAATTATTTCTCTCTTCACATGAGTCATTTAAGTAATATATTAAATCTCAACACTTATAAACAAACATGGAATTTGAGATTTTTTCATGATGTCCTTTCACACACAACACTTTTTTTTTGAATTTGGTGCTTCGATATAAATGGTGAACTATATTACTTCAATCGATAGACTTTAATATTATATTACAATTTAATATAACTCATTTTTACAAAATTAATTTATAAGATCAGAAGAATCACTTTATTTAAAGTCTTTAGATACTCTATGTCTATTCATGTCTAACTAAGTGAAACTTCAAATCTTTCTAATACTAATCTTTAAAAGATAATAATTTAACATTTAAGATAATGATTTTTTTTAAATGACACTTTGAATTTTTCAGAAACAATTTTATTTTGTTTGAAAAACCTAAAATGTACTCAACCTATTTTTTCTGTTTCATTTAGCTAAACAAATAATAATATAATATATACTCTATCTCATATTATTTATTACAATTGTTTATTTCATACAGATTAAAAAATAATAATAAATAAAAGAGATAATAGTAAATTTATCAAATTATTCTTATTAATTATTGATGTATTCAAATTAACATTAATGTTAATTGAGAAAATAATAAATTAAAAATATTTATTAGAGAATACAATTGAAAGATTAAATATAAAATTACATGATAATTTAAAGTGACAAATATATTGAAATAATTTTTTTTTAATGTAATACTTATTTTAGAATAGAGAGTAACATTTATAAAAATCGTTTCTTAAACAGTTAATCTGATCCTCTGGATTTATTAAACAAATATTTTTTTTAAAAAAATTAATAAAACGACAAAATAAGTTCAACCTTTTTTTTGTTTAACCTATTTTCATTTTATAACACCCTTTTCATTTATCTAACACGTGCGATAATTAACAACTAATACTGCACTTCCATAGAAAGAATTAATGTTAAATAATATTAATTATAATTTAAATCAGTACAGTATCTCTAAAGCAAGATTCTTTGAATTGATAATATATAATATTAAAAATGCATGCAATGCAATCACTCACTTGCTTCAAAATTAATCAAACTCGTTTGAAAAATACTTTATAGTTCTGCATCGATCTCCACTTCTGATTAATCATTATATTTGAATAGTATCTTTTTTGAAAAAGTTGGTTTATACTACTATTTAGAAGAACAAATTTGTTGAATTTAACATGTATGTTTCCCTTTAAATTGGATGAACTCGTTTGGTACTTTCTAAAAAGACAAGTAAGAGCATACAAAAACAAAAACAATAATTGACATCTCACCAGTAATCTTGCTAGGACTCACCAATGTCATCATCATTTGGCAAATTATAATAGCACATGAGTTTCCAAAATTAAATAAATTATAATAGTACATGTGATACAAAGAAACTAGACTTTATATCCACAAATACAAAGCATTGATTAATCATTGTTTATTTGAAACAAAGATAAAGTTACAAAGACATTTTTTTGGAACATTAAATTACAGACTATTTAAAGAGTAATAAAATTCTTTTAACTAACTTTTTCTATCTCTCAATTCTCTTATAAGAATAAATGTCATGTTACTAAATAAGAGAGATAGAGAGAAGAACTTAATATTTATAAACTATCGATTTATCATAATCATAATATCCAATTTTAAAAATATTTATAATTAAAATCAAATATTTATGATTAAAATTAATTGATAATATAAAAAATATATCGAAGTTAATTGATATGTATTATCAATATAAAAAAATTTACACTGTCAATCGATCACAACTATTAAATATAAATATATTTAATTATATTTAAAATCATTATTATAGTTGTGATGTACTGACAATATAAATTTTTAACACCGAAAATTCATGACCAATTTAACTCGAATATTTATACTAATTAATATGGGATAAAATTAAATTCTAGAGATAAAGCTAGCCAAAAGAGAAGTTAGATAGTAAAGTTGAGTTACATTAACATTGGATCCACACCTTGATGAGTATTAGTGCACAATTTAGGTCCATCCATTAAACATGGACTCAACCTAAACATGAGAATGCAAAACTCCATTTGATTCAAAGCACCATCTCCATCCAAATCACCTTCCATTAGCATGCACAAGAGTTCATCGTCCCTAACCTCCAAACCAAGCATGAAACAATTCACCTTCAAGCTCTCAAATGTTATAAGACCTTTGTTCACATCCATGAGCAAACGAAACCCATTGCAAAGTTCTCCAATAAACCCTTCTGCTCCTAAACTTCCAATCATGGATGGAAAGTAGTCCTCAAAATCCATACCAAAATTATCCAATTCCATGTGGAAATTGTGAGTGAAACTTAAAGTTGAAGTTGTTGTAGAAACACTAGTGTGAAAGAGGATTAAATGGTAGCTTGAGCTAGAAGGGTGTTAGTGCTTCTTATATATCATACAAAAAAGGTAGGGTTTTGTACAATGAGTGAAACAATAGTTAAGTTGTTGAAAGGTAGGGTTCCTTCAAAAAAGGAAAATGTAGGGTCGGAAGTGTGGTCCATATTGTTTTTTCTTTGACTCAAAATTTGATCCACACATAAAGAGAAATAAATTTTGTATATTAAAAAATAATATTTAAAAAGAAATGGAGGAAATATTATTTTTATTTTTATTATTGTAAACATTATTATTAACATAAAAAAAAAATTTGGTACAATTATTAACATGAAATTGTAAAAGTTATTTTTTTAAGTCTATACTGTATTAAATTAATATTTCCATATGATTTTCGCTATTGTTAAAAAAACACATTTGTTATAAAGTACTATAATGTTGAGACATGTTTGGATTGACAATATTCCAATTTAATTCTTATTAAAATTTAAAATATTTTACATAGGTATGTTGGATGAATCCAATCTTTTTTGGTGGAAAGAGTTTTGGTTCCTTCGTTTTGGGTGCCATTCCTATCGTTATATTCCTTTGTTTTTGTTCATCAATTCTTTTTCTATTTATGCTTTTGTCTCTATGTATCTTCTTTGATTGTTTACCTTAATAAAAAAAATAAAAAGAACATCTATTATAGACCTAGTTGTAATAAATGCTTTTTAAAATAGGAAAATGAACATTTGGGTGCTTTGAAGTTTGATTGAGTATTTATTACTCCGTTCAATTTTTAAATTCTTATTACTTTTTAAACATATCAAGATAATTAATAAGTTTTTCAATTTTAAATACTAATATTTTTTTTGATAATATCTTTAATTATTATTATTCTTTCTCATCTAAATGAATTTTAAAAAATGTATGACTTTTGCTTTAATATAAATAAGACAAAGTATAAAAAATGAAAGATTTATAAAAATAAATAAAAAATAGATAAATGTTTTTAATTTGAAGATGAAAACCGAAGATCATATCAAATAACAATGTTAAGGATTTAAATATCTTAAATATATAATACAAAAGAATGAAGAAATAAAAGAAAGATAAATGATCAAATTCAAATTAAGTAGTTTATATAGAGGAGTATCTTTCACTCTAAGAAATTTTTCTATTTTAAACAAATTTTTAATATTATAATATTAAACACATAAAATATAGAAGTGATGTAAGTAATTGTAAAGATAAGAAGAAAATAAAAAAATAGTTGTTAACATTAATATTTAATATTAATATTTTCATTTTATTTTACATTTGAAAAAACTACCTCATATAATTTTAACCTTTTATATAACAAAATGAAGTATTGATATTAAGGAGGTAATCTGAAAAATACTGAATTTGGTTTTAAAGTGGAAATAAGGTTGTTTGACTAATATTCATATTTCTCCATACGAATTTTAAATTAGTAAAGTCTTATTTCCCTAAAAATCAGAAAACGAAAGCCAAAAAAAAATATATCGCCATAAGATAAATTGCCACAAACCTAAAAAATCAATTTAAATATTATGATTTTTATTCATTTACAAACAAACAATTGTATTGGCAATAAAACTTCTGCAAATGTTACGATTTTAATTCATTTTATGGAAACAAAAGTTGTTGATAATGTAAAAAAAACCACGGAACGTTGACGGGTTAAAAAAATAATTTAGATATAATTTTTTAGGTAAATTTTTTTATTATTTTTTAATGAAAATATAATTAATATATAATTTTCTCTTATACATATGTAAGTTTATTCTATTTTTACTTCTTAAATTATATTTAAATATTATATTTAAATATTATTTTCATTCGAAAATGATAAGAATTAATTGTATCTAAATTTTTCTTTAAAAAATATCGATAATGTTTTCTAAAAAAGAAAAGTGATGTGGTAGTCTGGAGGGTTTCATGTGACACGATGTACTACTCACTTTAATGAATTTTTTATATCAAATATATATAAAATCAATGATGATATATGAGATAAAGTGTTTAATAGTAAGAAACCAACATAAAAATAAAAATAAGTGTAAAATAGATGAAATATATTCTATTGAATGTCGGATAAGACTAGACAAACTAATTTTATAAATGTTAATATTATAGAATTTGGGTTGCATCTATTGTAGAAAAAATATTAAAAAAAACAGATTTAAAAGATTTAAAATATTTGACTGTATATTACAAAAATATGTGAATTTTGTAATAAAAACACTATATCATAGGAAGGATATTCAAAGAAATAGAGATATTAAAATATCTAAAAAATAAAAAGAGAAAATAATGTTAGACTATGGTATTGAATTTAGAGAGGGGTGAATAGATTCTTAAATAAAAATTATTTTTCAAAATAATTATTTAAAATTTATTTGAAAAATAATATTGAGCGAAAGGTTTTTGTCCTAGATCAATATAGTAGTTTAAACGAACCTAGTTATTGGAAATTTGGATATGCACGAGCCATATGGAATTAGCATAAATATAAAACCAATCAACATAATAATATCTCAATTAACCGTTTAATATACAATACAACAGTTTCATATTTCCAATGAAATCATATTAAAAACACAATATGACAATTTATTGAACATGTGGTGCGCAATCAATTTTTCATAATTTTCTTTGAGATTGTTGATATGCAAAAACACTTACAATCAAAGTGATTATAAGCTAATCAACAAGGCAATTTAAACTTTAATAATCAAAGAGAAGTTCTATACGAATCAATCGATCAAACAACATTCAATGCATTGCATATAGAGAGTAAATGAAAGTAAGAGATAGAACATGGAAATTTCCCTTTGTGTTAAACAAGCTAAACAATTTATCAAACACTTGGAGTACAAGTGAATTTTTAGAATATTTCCTTGATTAGTGTTGATATACAAAACCACTTATAATCAAAAGTGATTATAAGTTATATCCACACTTGAGTTAAAATCAATACCAGTTAGGAAAATTCTTACAATTAAATTGATAACAACATGTTATTTGATAAAGTGATTGATGAATGTCAAAGCAAGTAAAAAGTGAAAAGTAAAAGAGACACAAGGATTTGTTTAGGAAGTTCCCCACTTTCGTTCTCGCATGTGGGTACATCTCCCCCCAATTCCAAATTTGGAATTAGGATAATTTCTTACTTTGCAAAAGTATAGTTACAAGAGAAATATTCAAGATCAATACTATAAACCATAACCATTTGTTGTTGATTCAACCCCTTCTCTTATTTTGATCTTCAACAAGACCAAGACCGATAGGTGAAACCTATTCGCCGCTTAAGCTATTTCCTTAAAATGATTTCAAACACCTCAAGGTTCCTTGTGAAGATTTCAACCACTCCACGGGATTTTTCACTCAAGTAAATCTGATTGCAACCTATCAACACAAGATCACTGATTCTATCATGCAATTCTTTCTACTTCCTTAAAAAGATTTTGACCACACTAAGGTTCCTTGAAAATATTTCAAACACTCCAAGGGATTTTTCACATGGACGATTCTTCGCACAATCTTGCACGAAAACCCCCAATTTAAAAAATGATGTTGGATGACAAACCCGATAGTTTTTCCGGATGAAGACCCTTACAAGAGCTCAACCCAAATCAATTGGAAATCTATAATTCTTCATCTAGATGACACCCTGATGGAATATCACCACAATGTAATATTGGTGTGTATGCATAGATTGGAAGGTTGAAGATGAAGAGAAAAAATAGGCTAATTTTATGGTATCGTCAAGTTGGACTGATGCATGAATGATATATTTATAATTGGACTCTTTTTATGTAAAATAGGGTACTTTTGGAATGAAAAAATGACCCACAAAATAGTATGTGTCGACCTGAAAAATTTATGTGTCGACACGTGAGGAACAATGGATAAAAGCTTAAATAATGTAGTACATATGCTGACACATAAATCCTATGTGTCAATGCGTAGGTTGTATGTGTCGACCTGAAAATCGTATGAGTCGACACGTACTGAAGCTTTTAAGAAAATGTAGAAATGTAGAATTTATGTGTCGACGCATAGAAATTTCAGGTCGACACATAAGTGTTATTTTTATGCTAAAAGTATTTTTTCATTATTGGGATCAATTTTAAAGTTGTTTTAAATGATTCCTAAAACCTCTAATTCAAATGGGTGCCACAATACATAAGGATATCATCCACCATACTAAAATGCTAGCTTTCCGAGTTTTGACATCATGCAAAACATCTAATAGTGAATTTGCACTCACAAACTCCCCCTTTTTGATGATGACAAAACTTACAACGATGCATTTCATGTAGTTATCGAAGGCTTCCCCTGACTTTGTGCTTCCCATCTTCATCTCTCATATTCTTCTCCCCCTTTGACAACATCAAAAATAAAGAAGGAAAATCACGAGAAGTATCATATTTCACTACCAATACTAATATATCACACAGAGTCATTTTTGTAAAGAAGAGCATACAATTACACACACACACACACACATATATATATATATATATATATATATATATATATATATATATATATATATATATATATATATATATATATATATATATATATATATATATATATATATATATATATATATATATATATATATATATATATATATATATATATATAATGATGCAAAAAATAGATAACAAGCATAAAACATTACCAAACATCTAATGCAATTGCATGAATAAAAATGAGTGTGATGCAAGAGTAAGCTAGTTAAGTTGCTTCTATAGCGTCACGATTTGTAACACAACACAATGGAACTCCTGATGTCGTAGCATAATGACAAGAACATGTCATAACTCAATCCAAAATGAAAATGTTTCCATAAATGGTGACTCAACTACAACATGAATAGTACATGCAATTAACATGGTTACATTTAACTCATGCACAAATGCAAGAAATAAGAA